AAGGCCGAGCTGAAAACCTCTTTCTGCAGCGAAGAACTTTTTCCAAACTTGCTCCTTGCTTCACCTTTGATACCCATATGGAAAAACTTCTTTCATCGCTGCAGAAAGAGGTTTTCAGCTCGGTCTTTTTTGTCACTTTTACATTACAACATGAAATTCAAAACTCTACTTTTGCTTGAAATTCAGGTTCCATGGGGAAAATTCAATATTTCAGCAACAAAGCTGATTGCGCGGTTGGGGTTCTTCATAGCCGATGAGGGTCTACATTTTAAAAATAGTCTCATTCAAAAAGGTTTTTAGCACCCTTCAAGAGGTTTCCTCGTCAGAAAATCGTGCAGGACCGGGAAAATAATAACCGCTGATAATTACAGTCAGTCTGCCCATCACTGAGCGATTGTCGGGTTTTAAATTGTGTTTGGAAGAGAACAAACAACAAAATACAGAATACTTTTAATCCCGAGGATAAGCTAAGAAAATTAAAGATTTTAGTGGAGGCCATTTGGGTGAAATACGTCTTACAAGATCTGATGTTTAATAAGATCCTACAACATCACACGTCTACTCGTCGAAGTTTTCTGAAATGTAGATTCTCCGTTACAGATATGAGTAAAACTCTTTGAAATTAAATTTTCAGAATCTCTAAACCGTCGTTTCTAACAAAGACTTTAAGTTATGAAAGATTAATATGCATGAATACTGTTTTATTTATTTTATTATCTTTATCTCTCACGTTTACTAATTTACATGTAAGTTGAGAAATTCATTTTAAAGCTTAAATGACAAATGTTACATGTTTTCATTTTATCTTAATTACGTTCATTCTTTGCTTTAGCTGACAATAATGTTGTCATTATCATTCCAGTTTTACAGAATGTGACAGTGATTAGTGGTCAACGAGCATTTTTACAATGTACATTTCAGGGAATAAATGCAGCTCATCAGGTATCTCAATAAAATGATCATATCATCTGCTAGTCTGTTGTTATTGTTACTTTTATTTTACTCTTTCTCTCTCTTCCTTATAGTTAATATGGATACGCAACAATAGAGGTGATATTGTTGCACACAATGCTGATCTATTATCATCAGATAAACGTTTATCCGTTTATCGTTCCGAAAGTGAATATCAACTTTATATCAATAATGTAAACATCAATGATGAAGGATATTACACATGTGAAACTAACACAAATCCAACAAAAAAAGCTAACATACATTTACAAGTACAAGGTAAATGAATATTATTGATGAAAAAACCTGAAATTAAAAAAGAACAAGTTTCCCATCGAAAGATATATATCTGTATATATAATGAATGTATATTTAAATTAATACGTATAAGATTTTAAGTTAAATGATATGATTCATTGTTAGGATAATGAAAACAACACGAAATAATAAGTGTACATTTATGAACATCACACTTCTAAAGTATTTAAGCTATTGACACGTTCATCAGGATTGATTTTTAATTTATCATTAACTTATTTTGAGAAAAGTATACGATAAAGTCAAAATTGGTGCCTTCTCTAAAATATTCATCTTAATTAATATCATTGTTTATGTATGTATGAGAATTTTACTTAGCTGTCATCAAAATTCGTGTCATACAATATGATATTTAAACGAATGCATGCTCGTGCGTTAAAATGATATTTTTCATAAAGTTAGTTATATGAGTGAGTCTCTTCTAAATGAATTGACCAATGTTCCAGATAATACAAATTTATTGAAGTGTCTTATAACATAGCATAATAGATCACGGATCATCTATGCAATAAAGTAATATATACTGTATATAGACTGACATTTACAACGTATTTCACAATATATACAAAACAAAAACGAAAATTATTATTTTTTTCTATTTAAAAAAATTCTCGTTTTCTCTCATCAATGTGGTTAGTGTAACTGTCAGTATATTATATACAGATTAAAGCATGGTTCATTTACTCCCAAAGAAGGAGATTCAATTTTTTTTGTCAGCAATTGTTTATGTATACAATGCCAGACGCATGTTCAAAAAGATGAAGAACAGTTTACGTGTATTCGCTACATAACTACTTAAAAATATATTTATCTGGCAAATATACTAGAATATTTTTTCTCGACCAATATTTATTGTTTAGAAAAAATATGTCTGCTAAACACATGAACGAATGAATGAACATTTATGGAGTGTGGATTGATTTAGCTAAATCAACAAAAATCCTTTTATATTTGACATTTTCTCAATGTTAAGAAAAGAAGCTCTTATTATAATCAACTAATGTTTTAGTCGTCTGTACAAATGATTTATTCATATCATCACTATATAACAATTACTTTTCAACACCTCCAAGTCGGTATAAGCTAAGAGATAAATATTACTGAATCCTAGACGGCTTAGTCTATTATAATTAAACGAATTTTAATTATTAAACTTGTCACACTGAAGGGTTTATATAGACTTCAAACAAATATTGTTCAAATATAAATGAAAATATTAAAGGGGTTACATGTTCAGTTTTCTTCTGAAAAATACTTAGATAAACAGTCAGAATATCATAAAAATACGACTACTCTTGATTTCTAATCAACAGATATTGAATAATGAACTGTCACATAACTGTGTGACAGAAATACAGTACGAGCACTGTATTTCTGAGTGAATGTGTTACAACATTTATGCACTCTAAAAAAGAATATAATTGAGAGTAGTTCAAATTTGCGTTCAGATCCAGTATACTTCTGACCAAAAAATACAGTTTTTCCTAGAAAACTGTCTTAGAATAATTTATTTCTATGACTGGCGAACGTCCTCTCTAAAAAAAATAGGTTTATTACGAAACCTAAAAGGGTTTAGAGAAGTGAAACTATTTCGAAACCGTTTTAGGTTTCGTATGAATCCCTTTTGAGTTTCGTAATAAACCTATTCTTTTTAAAGAGTACCTCATACTTTTATCGTATACTGCACATACTGTAAAAAAATTCGGAATTAGTCACTGCGAGCGAGGAAATAGCATCCTAGAAAAAAGAAGAATCAGAATAGCAAATTTTTCTAGAGTACTTTTAGACAGGATAATATGAATTTACTGATCTGAGAATCTAGGATACTGGGAATTATTAGAAGTCCATTATTGAACGTTGGTAAATATCAAACTTTTTAAGATTAATGTTATATACAACTTCCAAAACTGTTTCATACCAACTCAATAACTCATCGGTTCAGAGTTCAGATTAGCATGAGCTTAGACTCAAGTGAAAAGCGATTATGACTATCGAATAATAATAAATGAATTGCGCTATTCTTACCGCGATCAAATCGCGTACTCGCGACATGACTACACAATATTTATGACACAACCGCTTTTCTTCCCCGTCACTCTTATCCGTTACATTTGCCCATGATTAAAATTTCCCACTTAAAGACTAGATCATAACGCTAACATTTGTCTGCTTAAATATGATGAATAATTACTGAGACATAATAATTTTGAAATTTTTTGACAACTCGCAGCCATTAAATATTGTAATTATGAATAAACGAAACGTGCATAAGAGAGGCCGTGAGGGACGAAAAGCAGTTGTCAGAAATAATACGTATAAATAAATGATACGTTTAATATGGCTTGATCGTTTTAATGAAAACACCACGCTCACTCCAATGAATTCCTGTCGATAATGACTATCCGTGTTTCACCCTCAGCATCCCCGTAGATCTGACTTTCCACTATATAAAATATAGATGTCCCTAGCAGAGGATACCCAGAGTGTGTGAAGCGCACGCTTCAGCAGGTATCATTTAAGAGAAAGGATCATTTTTTCCAGCAGTACCATCTGAGATAACGTAGCGTAAGTTAGAACAGAACGTACCGTACCGTACCGTAAAGGATTTCTGAACTCTGAGATAAAATTTTTCTTCATTCGAACGTTGTTTCGTGATGTATTTTCAACGTTAGTTATGAATCTTTTACTATGTACTTTATTGAGACGAGCAAGAAACTATGTAATGAGGCAGTTTATTTTGAGAAATATGTGTATTATTTAGCTAACAAATGCGAGTAACAGAATGCGACTTTTTCATCATTTTCGCGAAAATTTCTTTTATTACTAAGCTGATACGTTCTTCTTTATATCTAAGAGAATAAGTTTGAGAAACCAAACCAGATTTTTAATGATAAACGTATTAATAATTTATTTAGTATCTGTTTTTTCATTTTTGATCACGTTCAATTGAAGACAACTATTCTTTTCACTATCTTTTGTTTAATAATTAATTGATCAAAATCACTTTCAGATACGACAGGATTCGCACTGGGAATTCGATTACAATGAAAAAATTAATTTATAATGCCCAAATAACCCCTATCACTGATCTAGTCTGGTTTTTATAAAGAGATGCGCAATTGTTATTTAAGTTTAAGAAAGAAAGATATTCAGGATTGAATGAATCTGTTATTATTATTATTATTGTTGTTGTTATAATCAGCATGACGTGCGCGCGTGTTAGAATGAACGCCATTTATCAACAATATCAGTATAGTTGGCACACTATCAACCGCAAATTAAAATAAGATTATAATTAAACAGAATAATAGCTTAGATAATAATAGGTCACAAAATTATATGAAAAATTTCGACGCATTTTTTAGATGAAACTGTAATAATAACAGCTGATCTAATCTCTTCTTAATTCGTAATATGTGAGTTAGATACATTACAGAAAAACGTGTTTGCCTAAAATTTACATCCTTATTTGATTTATTCTTGCTGTTGATGGTCCGTGGCAACTTATTCGCAACTTATCGATCTGTCGAACTTACGATGGCCAAGAGCTTCGATGTTATAACTGATATCTATTGATTACGAACATAGTGAGGAAAATGTAAAACTATGTTGTATATTGACTGACTTGGACAGAAAACTTGCTGCTTTGATATAAACCTTGACGCTTTGGGTAAAAAAAAAGTCGATTTTTATTTATCTGTCGATGTTGACACAACGGTGCCCAGGTCTACTTCTGCTGACATGAACAAATGTTTTTCCCTATTGTAAATGCCGTAATACTCACCTTGCAATAATAAATGTTCTTTATTCCAATATCTATTCTTTTAGTATGTCACTGTTTAGGAAACTCAGTTTTACTATGGACAAGTCGATACTTTTTCACCAGTTTTTCTAAATACAATTTCATACTGATCTAATCTATAAAATAGCTGTGTTTGTAGTAAATGTGCATCATCAATAATGGCTTAGTATTTGACTTTCTTTGTGCCATGTCTGCTTAACTAAGGACCGTAGCAAATTTAGTCGTTGCTACTACTTAATCTTCTGAGAGATGCTATCATATTAATAAAAAGATTTATTTATCTAAAAACAAGCTGTAAGTTCAATTCTCAAATCAAATACAAAATGTATGATAGTTTTAAGCAAGCTCTTTTAATCTTAGAAACGTCTCCGATTAAATTTTAAGCTTTTATACTTCTCAATATTTAGGTGTTCGTTATTTCTTGTTGTTTGTGCTAAAAGTTTTGTCAAAATTAAACTGAATTTTGATGTCCTTTTCTCATTGAAATTAACTTTTAGATTAATACTAAGAATTTTTGGTAACATAGATGAGCAGAGAGGATTACACCTTACGTTGCTCAACAATAACACGCTTTCGACTCTCGTTATTATTAAAAGAAACTGAAGTAGAATTATTACTACTACTTGATTGTGTAGATGATTTGTTGAGAGTTCAAATTTGCGAAAGATATTGCATATGAAAGGATAAAGAAGCAAATTAGACTCATAGTATGTTGTATAATTTAAAATTTTGAAAAAATTGATTACAAAATCTAATACGTGTTCAATAAGTGAAAAAAATATTTTTTCTCAATCAATATTCGGAATTGGTTTCATTTCCGATTGGGAAAAACGACCTACTTTTCAGATTTTCAATCATTATACGCAGAAAACTGACTCTTAATTTCTCTTATTCTTTCTATCATTTTTTATGTTTCATTTTAGAAAGTCCACAAATTCTTAGTAACTTTTCTACAAAATCACCAGTTATTGTGAATGAAGGTACCAATGTCACGTTAATGTGTTATGCAAAAGGACGACCTCATCCATATGTAACTTGGTATCGAAAAGGAAATAAATACGGTAAGTGACAACAGCGTTTAAGAAATGAATATCTTTGCATAGGATTCAAAAAATATTTGCATTTATTTATAAACGTGTATTTATTATGCCTGACTTTTTACGCTATCCATTTGTCACAGATGAATAATATAAAATTTAAAAAACTATAATTTCGATAGATGAAAGCCTTCATATACATATTATGTTTGAGACAAATGAAAATATCTTTGATTACTATCGGCGAAGAGTTCAATAAACATGGAAAGTTAACCTCAAGCGGAAATCCTCTTATTATTAAAAAAATATATAATTATACTAAACAGCTTGTATAAGGAAGAGTTGTGGCACACATTCGGATCTATTTTAATATCCAACCTTGACAGCCTAGCTATAGGCTGCGGCTTAAGTATAAGATCTATAAGGTCGTTTTGAATGACTTACATATGTAAGTCATTCGTGATTGTCGAATTCAAATATATATTCGACGATAAAAAGCTAAATTTACTAAATTTTATTGACAAAGATAAGAAGAGAAGATTGAGTACATTTAGAGAAATTGAAAGCAAGGTGTACCTATAAGCAAATATTTTTATTTTTTTTATTTTTCGTTTAGTACTGTCTAATGGCACCCAGTATTTGACATTAAATAATGTTTCACGTGTCCAGAGTGGTCATTATGAATGTGTTGCCTATAATGGTGTGAATGGTCATTCTGTTAGTAAAGATTTTGAATTAAGAATTATTTGTAAGTACTAATAACTCGTTTTTTCTAATTTAAAAACATCTTGTATACAATATGTTTGTTAACAAATAGATATACACAATAGAACTAAGTTGTTCTATATAATAATGGAGGAAAATAACAATGAGTTTTCCATAAAATACTTTCGTAGATTAGTTCATTTAGTGAACATAGAAAAACTATTAAAATTTTTTGTTTTGATAATTGACTTTTCTTAACTAATAAAATGTTCAATAAAAATAAATAAAAATTACTTTAATATCAACAATTTTTGCAAATATTTATTCCATGTTGATTGATTACGATAGATCGGAACTGCCTTCTATTATAGTCATTTCTAATTCAAACTTCATAACAATAAATAACCATTGACATTATTTGTACCTATTTGACTTTTACTCCATATGCATGGTGTATCTACAGAAAAATTCGTGCTCAAATGATCATGCATTTTTCTTTATTTTGTAATGTCATAATAAAAAAGAGATTGAGTAGTTTTATTTTTAACTGTAGAATTATCTGGATTGAATGTACTTTTTTAACCTATATCTCAGAGTATTTTCTTATATCACCTTCTAATTGACCTTGAATTTGTCAAGTTCAGTATTCAGAAATTTGCACAGCATTTGTTTGCTTTTTAACGTTTACTTGAAAATATATATTAAAGTAATGAATTTATATTAAAGTAAAAATATCATATTGGATAATCTGTCATATGATACGACAGTTTTATGAATTGTAGGTGATAACAAAATTTTACATAGAAAAGGAGAGAATATTCAATTGATCGATTTTCTAAGTTAGTAGTCTTAACAGCAAGTGAAATTGTTTTTTTTAACTTTTAGACAAAAGAATTTCTTTTATGATTTTATCTCTTTTAAGTTAGATCTAGTCGGTCAGAAGATCACGTCATTGTTTTGTATTCTAAAAAGAGGTTCTTAATGATAATTATAGCATAGATAATCATAATGGTATATTATTGAGAAAAATCAGTACATTCCTTCTAGAAAGTATTATAATCACCAGAATACTCTATTCAATGATGATTTTTAATTTTCTGCTATTCCAATAGTAGTGATTCGTTTTTCTAATTGAGAATATGATGATTGCTAGAAATAGAATCTTCTATAATGTAATTTATGGTATATTGATGTACATACACTTCTAAAACAAGGCTATATATATATATATATATATGTATAAAAGAAAAAGAATGTGTGTTATTGTTCAACGTCAACATGAACAATGGATGTTGAAATTATGATGATGAATGACCAGAAGCAATGTTTTTTCTTTGTGTGTTTTATTACGCGAAAAATATACGCAATGAGCGATTAGTTCAGACCGGAAACATATGGTTAAAATCAACAATTGACCTCATACAAGTAGATATTATAATGGTCAATGATTTTTCCTTCTTCTTTCTATCGTTTTTCATCGAAATATGAAGGCTTGACCTACTCATGAATGTTATATGTCTATAATTGCAGAAATAAGAAAAACAAAAAAATATTCATTCATTGATAAAACATCTAAGAGTGTACAGAGCATAAGATCTTTATAAATAAGTAATTTGTCAAGAATACAATCATAAATTTTGTTAGTGGCAACAGACATGTTTTTCTTGTATTCATTTAGAGTTTCAATGGTTGATAACATCTATACATGTCATTGAACGTTTGTTTCTTTTCATATGCCATAGTTTTTCTATAATGACATCACTATTCTTTTGCTTTTCGATGACCTCTAGTGGATGAGATGTAGTATACACTTTCATTTTGAAATGTTTCTACTTACCAAAAATGTTAAAGGCATCATAGTATAACCAGAAATATATATAGACAAAAATATGGCATAATAAAGATTGTACGAGTCATGTTAGATTTCTAGAATTTATTTATCAATAATTTATTGTTATTGTTTGACTTTGAAATGTTCAAACGTTCTAAAAGTTCTTGGCTAATGAATGACAAAAAATGTTTGATTATAAATGAATTTTATTCAAAAATGTTTCTCTTGGTAATCGATTTAGACTTTAGTCTTTTTTTTTTGATCTTCTGGTTCATTCATTTTTATTTTTTTGCCCATTGGTAAAATGTTATTATCTCTTCATACGTGTATATCAAATTTGTTTCCACGTAATAAATTACTTTCATATTCAATGTTTTTTTGCTTTGTGTATTTTTAAACAAAAAGATCAAAGACAAAACAAACATGCCGAGTTTTTCCGTAGTTCTTCTTACTTTGATGATGACGATTGTATGCTTCTTTCTCACATAAATATAAAGACTGATTTTTGAGAAAGAAAAAAGAAAAACGATAGAATAATTGAATATGATATGTTTTAAATTATATATAAGCAAACGATATATTTCATTAGTTCAATTTGTTTGATGCCGACAGAGAAAAATCACCGTACACCTACGTTTGAGTGAATGATTAAATATTAAATATTATTTTTGACTTATATATATTGTATTAGGGAAGAAAAAAAAAAACTAGTGGGAACTAATTATACAATAGAATATCGAATTTTTTTAAAGTATATTGAACATAGCGTAACTTATCCTTTTACATTTCAATATAATCATTCTTTTTCATACTAATTGAATAAACAATCTCAGATTTTTTTAATCATTTTTTGGAAATAACAATCACAATGTGGGTGTTTTAAATATAAGTGTTTATTTCTTTTCTTTTTCTTGTAGAATTAAAAGTGCATTAAATGTTTGAGTGAAGTAGTGACCATTTATTTTTTTGAAACGCTAAATTGAACTTGATATAAAAATATCCTATTTAAGCATTTAAAGACTATCAAATGATGAAATATAAGTATCAAATGTATATTTTTGAAAATAATAAAAATGTTGTCATATAATATCTGGTTGGTTATAAACGTAATTAAATACATTTTACATTAGGAAATGTCAAAAAATAATTTTCTCATAGTAGAAAAAAAATAAACATCTCAATATTGAATAGAGACAAAAAATTGTTCAATGATATTCAAGTATAAATAATTGTTAAATAGAATCAACGGTATTTTTCTATTTTTTGTTTGAAAATGAAAGAAATATATTATTAATTTTATTTTGTTCAATACTCTTCCCCATTCATACACTCTTAAGAAGTTATCATTTATCATGAAAATAGTTCATATTTATAGTTATTTCTGCCCTTGTTCATCAGGTATCTTCTTTTAGCAGAGAACAATGATTATGAGATGATCACTTTTTTCTTCATTTTCTTTGTTTCCGTTGTTTTCTCATAGTCTATTTTGTGTGTGTGTGTGTGTGTGTGTGTGTGTGTGTGTGTGTGTGTGTGTGTGTGTGTGTGTGTGTGTGTGTGTGTGTGTGTGTGTGTGTGTTTTTAAAAAAAAACGCACACACACACACACACACACACAC